TATATGGAGGAATAAAAAACCAAGAATATCATACGAAACATTAAATAGGAATAAAGAGAAGGGGGGATTGGGACTGCCAGATGTTAAAAGGTATTATAAAGCAGTAATCTTAGCAAGAATTTATGACTGGACATTTAATTTAAAAGGAAAAAACTGGGTGAAAATTGAAAATGAACTCAGTGGAACTAGTTTGAGTAAGCTTATTTGGGTGCCAGCACAATATAGAGGGATTAAATGTAGTACAAGTCTTTACACTTTAAATGTTTTAAGGGTATGGGATAATTTGCACAAAAATATGAAATGGGACTTTAATTCTATATTAATGCCACTAAGAAACACGGGGTATTTCCCACCGGGCAGGGAAGAGAAAACAGGGAGATGGTTCAAAAAGGAAGATGTTCAATTGAGAGATGTTTTGATAGAGGGGGAATTGAGACCACTTAAAGATTTAGATGAGAAAAAAGGAGAGATCTTCACTAGGATAGATGAGTGGAAATATCATCAATTGAAACGTTTCATTTGGAATCTCCCGAAACCACTGAGATTAAAAAAGGATTGGAACTTGTTTGAGAGGTTGCTGGAGACACGAAGGGATGGGAAGCACGGTATTGCCAAAGTATATAGAATACTCACTGAATTAGACACGAACACAAAGTTAAGTTTTATAACAAAATGGGAAAAAGATATGGGTGAGGTTTTAGATGAGGATAAACAGAAAAAGATGTTTAGACTTATTCACGAAAATGTAAGTATGAGAGAGGTGGGATTAAATTATAAGTGTTTGACAAGATGGCACATTACACCGAGTGATGAGCATAAGATGAGTGGTGAGAATTCAAAGTGGTGTTGGAGGGGGTGTGGAGAGATTGGCACAGTTTTTCACATGTGGTGGGAGTGTCCGAAAATTCATGCTTTTTGGAAGTCAATAGTTAAACTTATTGAGATAATAACTGGGATTGACATAGGGTTAGACCCAACGATATTCCTCTTACATAATATCGAGTTATCAGTAATTAAATATAAAGAAACAGGTATATGGTACTATTTAAACGCTGCTAAAGGTTTGATTCCCAAGTTCTGGCAGAAAACAGAGGTGCCGAAGGAGGAGGATTGGGTTAATAGAGTGAACCAGATTGGTAGGATGGAAAAACTTTACCATATGCAGGAAGACAAGATGAGGATTTACTATACGAGATGGGAAAAATCTGAATTGAAAGAGAAATATAGGAAAGTATAAGTTAGGATAATAGAAAAGGTCTCCTTGCTTTAAAGAGGAAAGAGTGGTTTAACATGCAGAGGGGTGGGGGGGGGGGGGAGGAAACAGTTTTTATAGGGAGTAATGTAGAAATGTTTTGGATATTTATCTGTGTTTTTGTTTTTCTTCTAGGTGAAATTTGCAATAATATGAAAAATTAATAAATATTTAAATTAAAAAAAAAATATATATATATATATATATACAGGTTCTTGCAGACAAAAATAAATGCACATTTTTTTTTACTAGAAGGTGAACTAATTTTTTTATTCACATAGCAATGGTTTCACAAACTGCTATGGGCACAACTGCAGGCTGCAAGCCAGGGGGCACAGGGTAAAGATGGCCATAAGGGGAGTGCCTAACATCTTATCTAATGGATCTTTGAACACTGGATTGTCCTCCAAAAAGGCCGTGAAAGTCTTGTTAACCATTTAATCTCCAGAAGGTTTTACGCTCGTCATTTTCTGTATATTTTGCTATTTGGTACTGCCATATTTATATCATATATTTAACACAAATAGAGCTTTCTTTGGTGGTATTTGATCATCACTGGATTGTTTTAATGTTTATTAAAACAAAAAAAAAAGGGGGGGGAATTATGGGAAAAACAATATTTGATACTTTCAGCTATAAAACATACCCAATTAAAAAAAAAAAAAAGTCTTCATACATTTAGGCCAAAATGTGTTCTGCTACATTTCTTTAGTAATAAAAAAAACAAACAAACCCAATAAGCGCAAATTAATTGGTTTGCATGAAATTTATAGAGTCTACAAATGATGGTATAAAAATGGGAATTTGTATTTTTTTAATACCTGTAATGGTGATGATCTAAGACGTATACTGGGACTGTGACAGTGCAGCAGGCAATTGGACACTGATACTTTGTGGGAACTGGCTGACACTGACATCACCAGTGACAGTAATACAGTGATCACTGTTAATAGTATGCAATGCCACTGTACTGACACTGGCTAGGAAGGGGTTAACATCTAGCGCCAATCAAAGTGTTAACTGTGTACCTAACAATGTTACTGTGTTTAACCACTTGCCCTTCAGAGGATTTACCCCCCTTCCTGACCAGGCCATTTTCTGCAATACAACGCTGAGTCACTTTAACTGACAATTGAGCAGTCATGCAACGCTGTACCTAAATGAAATTTATGGTTTCTTGTTCCCACAAACAGAGCTTTCTTTCGGTATTTAATTGCCTCTGCGTTTTTGCCCTATAATCAAAAATAATCGACAATTAAAAAAAATATATATATTTTTGACTTTTTGCTATAAAATATATCCAGAAAAAAAATTTAAAAATCTAATTTTGTCATTAATGTAGGCCAAACTGTATTCTGCTACATGTGTTTGCTAAAAAAAAAAATCCCAATACATGTAAATTAATTGGTTTACTTGAAAGTTATAGCATCTACAAATGGCGGTATATATACTGGGTTTTTTTTTTTATACTAGCAATGGTGGCGATCAGCGACTTATAGTGGGACTGCGGCACGCATTCTGACACTGGGAGGGGGGGACTAACTGCAACTGACATCCCTAGTGACACTAATACAGTGATCAGCGCTAATAAAGAGCACTGACATTGTACTAATGACACTGGGCAGGAAGGGGTTAACATCTGGGGTGATCAAAGTGTTGACTGTGTGCGGTTTTACTATTTTGTATGTGTGTGCTTTACTTTGTAAGCATGCTGCTTTGTATTGGTCTGCAATACAAAGCAGCATGCTGGTGCTGACAAGGGAGAGATCAGTATAGTTTACATACAGACCTCTCCTCTGTCACTGTTCCTCGGCGACTGCCAGGGAATCTCCGACCAGGACCCGGTGATCGACATCTGTAGCCCGCAATGGCGGCATAGGTAGGGCGGTGTACGTGCGCCCCCTACCCGGAAATACAAAATCATGATTATACTGTATATGTGATTTTGTGCGACCCTGCCGCCCTGTAGCAATACTTCTGCTTTAGGGCGGTCAGAAAGTGGTTAATGTGTGCTGCTTTTACTGAGCAATGTGCCTGTTTTTACTCCCTGCTCTGCAGGGAGAAAATAAACTGGTACACCGCTGCTGTCTATAGAAAACTGTGAAGACTGAGATTGAGCTTTGTAGTCACTTTTGCAGTAGTTTTCTTATTCCGGGTCACAATCCTGAGCCATTGCTTTTGTCTCTTTTGCTCAGTTTACCATGTCGACTGCACTTATGCATATCAGAAAAAGGTTTCCTGGAAACTGCATATACCATCATAACCTTTGATACTACACCTCATGACACAACAAATAAATTGACTTCAGTCACAGAGGCAGCAGCTAAGTGGGCACAAACAATTTGCCCTGTTTGAAGCTCAGTAGACTGACACCACTTCGCATTACTGGCGAAGCATGCAGTGAATGATGAAAAGTGAAGATTCCCACCTGTTAGTTAAGTGACTAACCAGACAGCAGAAGCAAAAGAATATTATGTCACTTCCGCTTTCAACGTGAAACATGTCGTCACTTTCACACCTGCAAATCATTGTTTCCATTTTTTGGTCCAACCCCTGTATATATATATATATATTATATATATATATCACACAAATGTACATGCATAGACACATTAAAAGAAAGCTCCTCCTTATCAATGAGTCCACACTGTCAGAGTACAACGTCCTGGAGAAAGGGGAATCCTACATCCACATTGCTTGTGTGGATGCAAGAATCTTTTTTTCTTTTTTTTTTTCCCCCCGCTTGCTGGCTTAATGAAAAAAAAAAAAAAATATGGCCCACTGGAGGAAGGAGCCTGACCATGGCTTGGAGTGGGAGCTCAATGTGAGTTCTCCGAACTCCCAAGCACCTCCAGTTTCCTGCTGAGAAGGGGAGAGATGTGCGGGAAGCCCTGGAGAGACTAACCGGGGAGAGAAGGGCTTGCTTGGCGGGGTACATGGATCGAGGACCCCTGGGAGTGCCGGCCATTACAGCGGGTCTTCCTGTGCTCTCAGCCCGGCGCTGTGTGTTCCCCGGAGCTCAGTGGATGCCGGGCGATAAGGTAACCTGCTGCAAGGGAGCTCTGGGAGGCAGAGGAGCCAGCCGGCGTTTCTTGGAGTAAGGGAGACGCCGGCTCTCTTCCTCCTGCACACAAGACCTAGCAGCTGGAAACACGCAGAGAAAAGGGCTGGGTGAACCCCCCCGCAATCCACTCATTTTGTGAGGGGAATGTCGAGTGCAATGTTCCCCAGAAGAATGTGCCTGGAGCCGCCTTACCCCTCACTTGGAGTAAAGGAAGAGTTGTCCTAAAGTGCGGGAAAGTCTCTCAGAGAAGTTCAATTCAATAGAAACCAGAGATCTCACATGGGGGAGAAGTATTCCTGATTCGAGTGTGGAAAATGTCTTTCATGTAAGTCCTATTCTATATATACCAGTGATAACACAAGAGGGAGCAGCTATACCCTTGTTCAGAGTGCGGGAAATGTTTTTCACAGAAGTCCAGCCTGCATATGTATCAGAGACCTCACATGAGGAAGATGCTATATCCCTGTTCTAAGTGCGGGATTTTTTTTTTTTTTTTTCCCAGATAAGTCTAGACTTTATATATATCAGAGATTTTACACAGGTGAAAAGCCACGTCTGTCCTGAGTGCGGGAAATACTTTTCAGTGAAGCCCAGTCTTCACACACAGAGATCTTACACGGGGGAGAAGTTGCATACCTGTCCGGAGTGTGGGAAATGTTTTTCATGTGAGTCCTATTTTTACATATGCCAGTGATAACACAAGAAGGAGCAGCTATATCCTTGTTCAGAGTGCAGGAAAGGTTATTTACAGAAGTCCAGCCTGCATATACAGGTGAAACTCGAAAAATTAGAATATAGTGCAAAAGTTAATTTATTTCAGTAATGCAACTTAAAAGGTGAAACTAATATATGAGATAGACCCATTACATGCAAAGCAAGATAGTTCACGCCGTGATTTGTCATAATTGTGATGATTATGGCTTACAGCTCATGAAAACCCCAAATTCACAATCTCAGAAAATTAGAATATTGTGAAAAAGTGAAATATTCTAGGCTCAAAGTGTCCCACTCTAATCAGCTAATTAAGTCATAACACCTGCAAAGGGTTCCTGAGCCTTTAAATGGTCTCTCAGTCTGGTTCAGTAGGAATCACAATCGTGGGAAAGACTGCTGATCTGACAGTTGTGCAGAAAACCATCATTGACACCCTTCATAAGGAGGGAAAGCCTCAAAAGGTAATTGCAAAACAAGTTGGATGTTCCCAAAGTGCTGTATCAAAGCACATTAATAGAAAGTTATGTGGAAGGGAAAAGTGTGGAAGAAAAAGGTGCACAAGCAGCAGGGATGACCGCAGCCTGGAGAGGATTGTCAGGAAAAGGCCATTCAAAAGTGTTGGGGACTTTCACAAGGAGTGGACTGAGGCTGGAGTCAGTGTATCAAGAGCCACCACACACAGACGGATCCTGGACATGGGCTTTAAATGTCGTATTCCTCTTGTAAAGCCGCTCCTGAACAACAAACGTCAGAAGCGTCTTACATGGGCTAAAGAAAAACAGACCTGGTCTGTTGCTCAGTGTTCCAAAGTCCTCTTTTCCGATGAGAGCAACTTTTGCATCTCATTTGGAAACCAAAGACCCAGAGTATGGAGGAAGACTGGAGAGGCACACACTGAAAGGTGCTTGAAGTCCATGTGTGAAGTTTCCACAGTCTGTGTTGATTTGGGGAGCCATGTCATCTGCTGGTGTTGGTCCACTGTGCTTCATTAAGTCCAGGGTCAACGTAGCCGTCTACCAGGAGATTTTGGAGCACTTCATGCTTTGTTCCACAGACGAGCTTTATGGGGATGCTGACTATATTTTCCAGCAGGACTTGGCACCTGCCCACACTGCCAAAAGCACCAAAACCTGGTTCAATGACCGTGGGATTACTGTGCTTGATTGGCCAGCAAACTCGCCTGACCTGAACCCCATAGAGAATCTATGGGGCACTGCCAAGAGAAAGTTGAAAGACATGAGACCGAACAATGCAGAAGAGCTGAAGGCCGCTATTGAAGCATCCTGGTCTTCCACAACACCTCAGCAATGAAACAGGCTGATAGCTTCCATGCCACGCCGCATTGAGGCAGCAAGTGCGGAGTACATATGCATGCTTATACTTTTCAAAGGTCCGATATTGTTCTATGTACAATTCTTGTTTTATTGATTGCATGTAATATTCTAATTTTCTGAGATTGTGGATTTGGGGTTTTAATGAGCTATAAGCCATAATCATCACAATTATGACAAATCACGGCTTGAACTATCTTGCTTTGCATGTAATGAGTATCTCATTTATTAGTTTCACCTTTTAAGTTGCTTTACTGAAATAAATAAACTTTTGCACGATATTCTAATTTTTCGAGTTTCACATGTATATCAGAGACCTCACATGAAGAAGATGCTATATCCCTGTTTTAAGTGCAGGAAATTTTTTCAGATAAGTCTAGACATATATATATATATATATATATATATATATATATATATATCAGAGATCTTACACAGGTGAAAAGCCGTATGTCTGTCCCGAGTGCGGGAAATATTTTTCAGTGAAACCCAGTCTTCACACACATCAGAGATTTTACGAGGAGAAGTTGTATACCTGTTCGGAGTGCAGGAAATGTTTTTCAAAGCCCTTTACTTCATATATGACAGAGATCTCTGACTGGGGAAAAGCCGTATTGGGTACAAGAGGGTGAGTGGGAGTGGCAAAAGTACTGAGATTAATATATTGCACGGGAACTGAACTGTATGTATTGAACTATATGTTTAAAGTAAGGAGGGGTTCACCCAGGGGGTCTTAGAGGAAAATCATAAGGAGGATAATGTAAAAGAGATAAAGACTTAAAAGAAGAGGACCCGGGTAGATGAGTGTGGGAGTGGGGGGAGAGAAAAAAGAAGAAAAGAACTGAAAGGGGTACACCCCTGGAAGACGACAAAATGGTATATCAAATCAGAAATTAGAAAAAAGGGGCGATGGAAATGAGAAAACATGAAAGAAATCTGTTATATAAATTGGAAGACCAGGAGAATAGGGATAGGAGATGCAATCTAAGGATACAAGGCTTTCCAGAGATCTCCCAAGGAGAAGATTTGACGGGAATAATAACAAGAATGATGAACACTATAATGGATAGAACTATTACAAAGTCTCTTAAAATGGAGGGAGTATATAGAATAGGAAAATATATACAAGATGATAGGAAGGAAAAGCCAAGAGATGTAATAGTGCAATTCCATAATTTTCGGGATAAAAAAGAGCTATGGAAGATAAAAGGAAGAGCAATAATAAAATATGGAGAAACAAATATACAGATCTTTGCTGATTTAGCAGCCGAAACATTATTAAGAAGGAGAACTTTGAAACCATTATTGGAACAGATGAGAAAACAGAATGTTCGATATAGCTGGGGGTTTCCAGCGTGTTTGGAGAAATGGACATTCAGCAAGACTGAGATTCCCCAAAGATCTGAGAGACTTCTGTGAGAGACTTGATATACAGAAAATAAATATCCCTAGTTGGGAGGAAGAAGGAGAAATGTGGGCTAAGGAAAATGAGGGGGAAAGAACAGAGAGGAGGAAAATTATGGAGGTTGAATGAGTCACTTCTCCAGGAGCAAGAGACAAAGTGAAAAGTTAAGAAGGAAATAGAGCAATTCTTCGAAGAAAATGACTCTGAGGAAGTGTCGGTAGCTACTGTGTGGGAGGCACATAAGGTCTATATTAGAGGTATTTTAATAGCGATAGGAGCAAAAAAGAAGAGGGAAAGAAGATAAAAAGTAAATACACTCTTAAGGGAACTCTGTGAATTAGAGAAGACACATAAAAATAGAGTAACAAACGAGATCATGCAGAAGATAGAAAATAAAAGAGAATTAAATAACATTTTTGAAGAAGAGAAGAGGAGAGTGTTTAATAAAATAAGTGAGAGATATAGATGGGGGGATAGACCAGGAAAGTATTTAATGAGGGCTCAGAGGAAAAAAAAATCTAGAAATTATATTGAGAAAATAAGAGATAATAAAGGAGAATTGGTTCATTCAACCAAAGATATAGTAAAAGTGTTTAAAGAATATTACAATAAGTTAAATAATATTAAGACTCATGGTACCATAGGAGAAGATGAAGTCAGAGATAAAGAGAGAAGACTGGCATATTTAAAAAAAAGGCAGGATTACCGATATTAAATGAACAATTAGAATCCCTAGAAACTGCTTTAACGCAGGAAAAAATACATCTTGCATTAAAAAGTACAGTAGCCGGGAAAAGTCCAGGACCCGATGGGTATACAGTGAGATAATATAAAAAATATGAAAAGATTATATTACCTAAGTTGAGAATATATATGAATGCTCTGGGAGGAGAGATGGAGATGAGGAGGGAATCTCTGCAAGCTCATGTGGTTCTCATACAAAAGGAAGGTAAAGATAATACTCACTGCTAAAGCTATAGACCAATTTCCTTATTAAATATAGATACTAAACTTGTAATAAATAAAGTGCAGCGCTAATAGTGAATAAATGACACAAATAAAAGTTTGTTCAAAATAAGTTCGTCCAAATGATGATATCTCAAATTGCACAAGTGGTAATCACAACAGCAGATATCGTATAAACGCTTGTGACAGGAAAAAAATGGCAGAAGTGCGCACTCACCTTTTGCGCATAGGAAATGCGCATGTATATAACCATCAGATGGAGTTAAACAGCAGGTAGATGGTGAGCTTCCCTCAGGGAAATGGTCATCAAGCTTGGGTGAAGTAATAATCTGCTGGGTCCAGAGGTCCCCTAAAGGATATGCGGGTATTCAGCCTGGGTACAGGGCTCCCTCCTCTGGATGCTTGATGTATTAGGATATCTCTGTGGGTTTAATAGCTCCTCAATTGGAGCCAAAAAGAAGGAGGTGCCAACAGTGTAGTTCTGGTAATTTTATTGAACAAATGCTTAAAAGTAAAGTGCCAGAATGCATGTACAAGTAAAGTGCCAATTTGTGACAAAAGCAGAGTACTGCAGCACTGACCCTAAGTAAGATGGCCGCCGGACTCCATCTTATAAGAGGAGCTGACAGCGCGTGAAGTCATTGCCGCTGAGACCACGAGGAGGTCTGGCGTCCATCTTACTTAGGGTCAGTGCTGCAGTACTCTGCTTTTGTGCCGATTACCACTTGTGCCATTTATGAGATATCATTTGGACGAACTTATTTTGAACAAACTTTTGTGTCATTTATTCACTATTAGCGCTGCACTTTATTTATTTATTACAAGTTTAAGGCTATTGTGATTTCCTTTAAGTGTTCCAGCAGCTGTTTATAGAGTGCTCGCTTGATTATATTTTTTATAGATACTAAACTATATGCAAAAGTACTGGCAAGTAGATTGAAGGATTTAATGCAGAGTTTGATTCATATAGATCAAGTGGGGTTTGTCCCAGGGAGAGAGGGCAGAGACAATGGTTTAAGAGCTGTGTTTCTTATACAAAAAAGTAGAAGTAATAGGCATGGGACCTAGAATGAGAGAATGGATTAGGAAATTATATAGTCAACCCTCGGCAGCAATAATGGTAAATGGGGAATTATCCGAGTACATTGGGATGCAGAATGGAAAAAGACAGGGATGCCCTTTGTCCCCATTGTTATATGTACTGTCTTTGGAATCTCTTTTGGCTACCATCAGGAATAATGTAGATATAAAAGGAATTTGGGTAGGAGAAATTGAGCATAAGGTGGCAGCTTATGCAGATGACATGTTGTTCTATGTACAAAATCTGAGGATAACATTACCAAACTTAATGAAATCTTTAAAAGAATATGGAGAGATGTCAAACTTAAAAATTAACTCAACTAAAACAGAGATCTTAAATATAAACCTTACAAATAGAGAGAAAAAAATGTTACAGGAGGAATTCCCTTTTTTTTGGAGAGAAAGAGATCTAAAATATTTGGGTATAAAACTTACTGTCCCAATAGAGTAATTTTAGAAAAGCACCACACACCTTTAACTATAAATAAATGAATATAGCAGCAACTCCAAAACCACACTGTAATTTGGCATGCAAAATAAGTAAGTATAGAAACGCGCTAATACTTTAAATAAAGCCCAAATAAAGTGTCCATAAATCAATATGTGAAAGTCCAAAACACCATAAACATAGCAAAAAGTCATCATGTGAAAATCAGAACACCGTGATCAATCCACCACCAGATAAATTGGATAAACTCACCAGAGCTACATGCTGATCAAATTATAGACCAGCATAAGCACTATTGCTCTGGGAGCGATGAATGTAGCAATCTCCAGACTCTTTGGTGCAATGCTCTGCAGTGGTAAGCAAGTATCCAGGTACTGAGAAGCAACACCCTGCAGTATAGACAATATCCTGACTTAAGGAGCAATACTCTGCAGCCAATCTCTCACAGATGAGCCTTTGCATGTATCACCGTATCTCCGTAAAATTTGGGACCACACTCAGGGACAAAGAAAAGACATAATGGTGCAGCATGTTTTAAAACAATTTACATTTAATAAATACTCATAGCACTCACAAGCAAGGTGTCCAGATTGACACCAGTGTACACGGCATAAATAATGGACGAGCCCCGCTCACCGAGGATCACCGCCGACAGTCACAGGGAGCGTCCTGACATCAACATCCAACAAGCCCAGCCCATCCCTACGCGTTTCGTCATGACGTCCTCATGGAGCGGTACAGATGCAGACGTCAGACCATCTCTATATATACCGCACGCACTCTGCATAGCGGCAACAACTCAACCAATCACAGTGGTGTTATACTCTCACAACACTGCTCGGTCGGTACAATTACTATACTGACACCATAGCAAATGGTGTATCTAGCATAGCACATATATTAAATACCATGGTAAGTATATACAATATCTCACATGAGTATACAAATCCTTAACCTCAATAAAGAGAGAGCAGATAAAAACCATACAAATGACATAAAAAATTTATAGGAAAATGTATAGTATATATATCAATATACACATGTACCATATTCAAGATAATATAATGCATACAAATTTTTAAACATTTCATTACTAATATGAATAATATCAACCTAATTATCCTTAATACGATCAAACTAAATCCGTCCCATTGGTAATATAGAATCATTTTAAATACAGGAAATTAATAAATGTACTAATTATCCAACACTATAATGTAACAACCCATAGTCGTCAAATAAATCGAACTTTAAATTAAAAATTTGTCAAAAACCATTTAAATCGATGTCTATGTTTAAACCACTGGGTTTTAGGGAATTTAATTCATATATCCAAAAAGTTTCCCTCTTGGATATCTCATTAATCATATCTGTACCCCTCCAATGTTTTTTTCACTTTTTCAATCCCATAAAATGTTGCTAGCTTTGGGTCACTATTATGTTTTAATTCAAAGTGTCTAGACACGCTATGTTTATCATAGCCTTTTTTGATGTTATTCAAATGTTCACCAATCCTAGTTTTTAATAGTCTCCCTGTTCTGCC